ACTTCCAAAGGTTCTCAAGTGGGAAATGCCAGGCTTTCTTCCACTCCATGCTTCTTGCGGTGTCTTTCCCATACACTTCTTGTTGGAGATCGGTTTGTCAAGTAGACTGCACACGATACTGCTTCCGCCCAAAATTCCTTGGGTAGTTTCTTGCTTTTGAGCATGCTTCGTGCCATGTCGAGGATTATTCTATTCTTTCTTTCTGCCACACCATTTTGCTGGGGGGGATCTAGGAACTGTCATTGGTCGAGAATTCCATTTGCTTCACAGAACTCTTGAAACTCCTTGGAAGTAAATTCTCCACCTCGGTCGAATCTCATGGCTTTGATCTTTCTACCGCTTTCTCTTTCCACTGCTGCTTTGAACTTCTTGAAGACTTCGAACACTTCTGACTTGTGTTTCAAGAAATATACCCAGGTTTTTCTTGAAAAATCATCAATGAAGAGAAGAAAATAGTTACTGTTACCGAGAGAGCTCGGCTTGATCGGTCCACACATCGGTATGGATGAGCTCGAGTGGCTTCTTGTCTCTTGTTTCTAACTCCTTTGGAAAGCTTTTCCTGAATTGTTTCCCGACTAGACACCCTTCACAAAGCTGGTCAAGATGGTTGATATGAGGTAGTCCCTTCACCATCTCCTTCTTAGATAGCAGCTCTAGACCTCCAAAATTTAGATGCCCAAATCGAAAATGCCAAAGCCATGATGCATCTTTGTAGCAAGCTTTCAGGCACTTTGCAACATCATTTTGTATGTTGATCAAGAACATTCTATTATTTGACATTGACACTTTAGCAATGAAGTTATTCTTATCATCTTTTATAGAAAGATTATAATTATTCATATGAATATCATAACCTTTCTCTACTAGTTGCCTTAAACTTAAGATGTTACTTTTCATATTGGGCACATAGTAGACATTTGAAATAAATTGATGTCTCCCATCTTTCAAACGGATAAGAATGTTACCTCTCCCTTTCACTGCTATTGTGGAATCATCTCCAAACGAAACATTTCCGCTTACTGACTCGTCTAGCTCCACGAACATGGCTTTCCTTCCACACATGCGATTGCTTGCACCACTGTCAAGATACCAGGAATTTGCTTGGCCACCATCAGTTTCCTTTCGTGCTAGAAGAAGAGTTTCTTTGCCATCTATCTTTTCCTCCACGTAATTGGCCTTCTCCTCAATTTTGTTGTTGGGAGCTCTACATTCTGAAGCATAATGCACAAACTTTTGACAATTATAACATCAAACTTGAGATTTGTCATGCCTTGAGTTTGATTGATTCTTCCACGGCCTCGTGTTGAGCTTTCTCCTTTCTCATATTTGTTGTTGGAATTGTTGTTGTTGTATTTCCAGCCTCATCCACGACCTCGGCTTCCACCTCGTCCATGACCTCTACCTCTGCCTTGACCACGTTGGTTTCTATCATTGCGTTGGCTTTCATGCATATCCTTGAGTTTCTTCTCTTCGTATGCTTGCAATGATCCTTGGAGTTGCTCGATCGTCATTTCTTCCAAGTCTTTAGTTTTTTCAATCGTCACGACAATGTGCTCAAATTTGGGATCCAACGAACGGAGCATCTTTCTATTATCCTCACATCTTTAACTTTTCACCATTTCTTTTTAATTGATTAGAAACAACTACTACTCTTGAGAAATAATCTGAAATAGACTCAGATGCTTTCATGTGTAAGGATTCGAATTCACCTCTTAATGTTTGGAGATGAACCTTCTTCACTTATTTGGATCCTTTGTAAGAGGTTTACAGCTTCTCCCATGCTTCCTTGCTAGAGCTTGCACTTGAAATCTTTCAAAACCATCATCATCTAATGCTTGATAGATGAGGTAGAGAGCCTTCTTGTCTCTCTTTCTTGAATCCTTCAAAGTTGTCTTTTGATTTGGTGTAAAAGTAGCAAAAACAACATCATCTACAATCTCGTTATAGCTTTTCTCTATGATATCCCACACATCTTGTGATCCAAGAAGTGCCTTCATTTTGATACTCCAATTGTCGTAGTTGTTGTTGTTGAGTGTCGGAACTTGGAATGGTGACATACCATTTGCCACATCTCTCAATATAATGAGATTTTGTAAAATCTGATTGCACGGATGAATCTGGAACGCCGAAAAACCTTGGGAGGGACTTGGAAACTCGGTCAAGAGGCTCCAACTCAGCTGACTTGGCTCAACTTGGTGAGTCAACTCAATTTTCTGGCAGCAATCTTCCGGCGGTGCGTGGCGGTACGTCTGAACTCAGATTGAGAAAATTCTGGCGGCGTCAGATTCCTCTCGTCGAGACCTCTATCTTTCCAACTCGCTCTGATACCACTTTGTTGGAAATAAAACACTCACACAAACAATTTTTATTGAAATTCAAACAAATATTACAAGAGCACTCTCACTCAAAACAAGAACTACACTCGCTCTTATAAGATTTTGCTTCTTCACTCACTTAGAAACTCTTAATTTTTCTTGATGCTTAAAACTAAAATGGGGAGGGTATTTATACTACTCAAGAACAATCCTACACCACACAAATAAACTAATTTAAACCATTACAAATTCAACAAATACCTAACTCTCACCTAACTAAATTGATGTAAGCAATGACATCATTACTTAAATGATGTAAGCAATGACATCTTTACTTAAATGATGTAAGCAATGACATCAATTTAGTTTGGGTTTAGGCTCCCATAATGGATCAAGTTTATGATCCAACAGAAGCAACTTAGTGTGTGGTAGTGTACTATGGTGAGTGAAGAGGCATCTAAATGTGTACCATATATTACATGTAAAACTGAGGCGTCTTTTCCATTGCGTTACTAAGAAAAGACATCTCAATGCCAAAGCGGAAATATCTTGACCCCTCATGTTGTTTTGTGATCATAAGCCGAGATAAAGATAACTCAACACCCTACAAAGGCAACTCACGATCAGTAGGTATGAAGGTAACTCAACGTTTCTATAGTTAATGGGTGAAGGCTTCTCTCGCGTTCAAAGGCATCTCATCTCTTACAATGAGTAAATGTATCTCAACACTCGGAGTAGAGATAAAGCGATACTCTTTTAACAGTGGAGGCAACTCAATGTCATGATAGTGTAATGAAGAATAATAGGAACATTTCAAGTGATTCAATATCTAATCAGAGATGCCAAAAAAAAAACTCATGTGCATTAATAATGCTAAAATTACATGCTATCTAGGAGGAGGTTTTTTTTGTTACATGATTAAGGTGTACATTGGTTGTCCCTTATAGTTTTGCAGAAGGTGTTTCTGCCAGAAATATGTTAGTTTATAATTGTGTTACCTGTTTGCAAGATGAGACTTATCGATACTCGTGAGACGTTATGGAGGGTTAATGGTTACACATGCTATTTCATGCTTTCCTTTGATGTTGCGCCATCTACGGTGGGATTCCTTGCATAATGCTTCCTCCAACACATGTTCAAGCCCCTTGAGCACAATAATGTTGGATGGAAGGGTTGGCCAACTTTTCCACCCATATATTTGGGTTGCTACTTTAGCTATTGCTGCATTAGGCCCAAATTAGGGAGGCTCATGGGATGTGTTTAGGAAAAACTAAGCCTAGAGCGACATCGCTTACGCATCCCCCAACACTCGTAAGGAGGCGATCCTAGCTAGGAGGACAAATAATATTTCTTGTGTTGTCCCCATTTTTTACCTATGTTCTTTTCACCATATGCACCTTTGGCATGCTTCAATGGACTGGCTAGAGATGAGGTTGGATGTTTTGGTTTTTAGAGAGGGTGAGGACAGATGTTTTAGCTTTGTGGGGAGACAATGATAGTTATTTTCTTGGGTAAGATTTGAACTAATTTTTCTAATATAATATGTTCCACGTTCATCGCACCAATCGTTGATGAGAAAAGTTAATTTTATTGACCGTGAGTGATTCACCCCTTCTGGTTTGGGCAGAGAGTCACGCCAACGAAAGGACTATCGTAGACCGATATTTAGATGAATTAAAGGTTCGATCATGGAGATAAGAAAGAGGGATGTTCATTGTAGAAGGTGCCAGCTTCCCTCTTAGTCTTGGTTAGAATATTTATAATGATCTTTAATACGTGTTTCAATCGAAAGATGATAAGTCTATTTATAGATTAATAGCTAGATGGATTCCTTAATTAATCTTTAAATTTTGTTATGGTACGTCACGTGTGTTTGTCAGATGTTTTATCTAGAGGTATCATCCATAAAGAGAAGTTGGCTCACAGGCCTTTATTCACAGAAGCAAAGTTGTCTGGAGACTCTGGTAATAAAAAAGGCTTGTACAGGGTTCTCAACTATAGAGATATGTTAGTATCAGGAGGTCATTCTCCGGAGGTATAATAGTAATACATAATTAAAATATTAACATTAAATAATAAATAATCCATTTATATAATAAATAAATAAATATAAAAATATTAAATTGTGAAGTTTGGTGGGGTACCTGTAATGTAAAGAGGCTGTAAGAAAATAAAAGGCTTAGCATATTCGTCGTGAACCCATAGATATTTTGGAATATTATTACATAACCGCACCAGAAACCTATAATTTCTACCCTTGAATCACTCTTTCTTAGCCCCCCGTCAAATTAAAACCCAATACTGATTCCCCCCAAAACCAAAGCCACCACTAATGTTTGCTTGAATAAATATCAATCGGTGTATTTTAGCCATGCATCGTAAAATAATATTTTTGCACGAACTCTGGGTATAAAAAGGGTAAAACGATGGAGGTTCTGTGTATGAAGGAATTGTTATTACTTTAGTCCAGAACGCCGCCCGATTTTGCACCCGCTAAGTTTACCTCTCTTCGTCTCCTTATCTTTCTCGCCTACTGTTTCTTTCTTGTTTTCCCTTTCAAGTTTCATCTGGTAGTCTCAAGATTTTTTTCCTATTTTGTTTTTCGTACTACAACTGATTGGATTCTTGTTGCTGATCTTTAAGCCCTTTTTTCTTTGTGTTTTTTAAAATCAAGAGTTTCCATCGATGGAAACCAAATGCCAAAACAACAAGCGTAAAGTTTGGCAAAATGACATTAATTTGCATTCTGGTACACGTTTGATGGTCAAGGTTCCTCGTTACAGGGTTTTTAAGCTCCTTGGTCAGTTCTTGATGGTTTTTGCTTTAACCATTATGTTACTTAAATTCATCCTGAACAACGAAACTGGTCTGAACCCTGAAATTGTATCCGATGATGCTGTTACCTCCGTTGATCCGATTAATCTGGAGTTTCTGCCAGTTTTGTTCAATGATTTGAACAATGAAGGTATTCTGAAACCGGGGAAAAAAGGAGTATTGTTGAGGGATGAATATGATGAAGAAAAAGAAACCATTCAGGGTTCTTTGTTGTCGACGAAAATCGATATGGAATTCAGTGCTGTAAATGATTTCGAAGAAAAAAGCTTTATCCCCAATGAGTCCTTTGATTTCATCTTCACCAAAAGCTTTCAATCCGCACACAAATTCATCGACCGCATCCTCAAAGTCGGTGGCATCGTTGTTGTTCAAGATCTGGGTGAATGGTCTTCACATTCATTCAATAATTCGTCTGATTATAAGATTGTTTACTACAGGAAATTCCAGTTGATAAATGTTTTTGTAATGAAAAAGCTCAAAAATGTTCGAACAACCTCAGCCACCACCAAAAGGCGGCTCTTTGGGTATAACACATCGGAAGCAAAGAAAGCGGCATTGAAGAAACTAGAAGATGTTCTTCTCGAACCACCGAGAGCATTCTCGGGGACATCGAAAACCTACCGCAAACGAACCAAATATTTACCGGACTTATTGGGGGACACGCTTGAAAGCTACCCTCGTCGGGTTTTCATCGACGTAGGCTCGCCGAAGAAAGACGGTGGTAGCAACACCAACTGGTTTTCCAAGCACTACCCAACACGGAACCTGGAATTCGAGATGTACAAGATTGAGACACTAACCAAGGAGTCATGGAAGAAAAAAGCGGTGCTGGAGACGACGGGGATGTCGGATTGGCTGAGAAAGAATGTGAAGGAAGAAGAATATGTGGTGATGAAGGCAGAGGCGGAAGTGGTTGAAGATATGGTGAAGAGCAAAGCTATAAGATTGGTTGATGAATTGTTCTTGGAATGCAACCCTAAAGGAGTTGGTGGAAGAAAAAATATGAGAAAAAGGGCTTACTGGGAATGTTTGGCTTTGTATGGCAAGTTAAGGGATGAAGCTGTTGCGGTACATCAATGGTGGGGTTGATTTCAGCTTTCATTTTTAATTAATATTTATCTATATTTTTGTAGGGCAAGCAACATGGTTTAAGGTGTGTGTTTGAGAAAGAGACATTTATTTATTTGATTGATTTATACTAAAATATATCTAAATTTTGTTTAAGGTGTCTAAGTTCTTTAAATTTTCAACTATATATATATATATATATATATTTAAATTTGTTATCAAGTATTTTTAGATTTTTATCGTTTTCATCACATTCAAGCACAAACGCCAGATAATTTTATTGTTTCAGTGTGGAGTTTTTTTTCCTTTTTTTTTTCTTTGTCGGCTCTTTAGCTTGGGTTGACTTCATGTGATTGAATTGTAGTGATATTTTTTCTCTTGTTTATAAGTTGTCACTTTTAAAATATGTAGGGTAAAGTACACAAATAGTCCTTCGACTATAAGGAGATGCTTTATTGAGTCCTTTAATTATTAAAAGTTACAAAATAGTCATTCGACTATATGGTGTTACTTTGTTGAGTCCTCTGACTATAAAAGTTATGTTTCAAACTCATCTTTTTTCGTGAAAAAATTCAATACAATCTGAGATGGATGTTAACATGTTGACTGATATATGATAGTTTTTTTAGATTATGGGATCATATTTTGTCATATTTCAATCTTCAGTTAACATCTAGCTCAGACTGTTGTCAATTTTTTAACATAAAAGGACGAGTTTGGAACATACTAAATAGTCGGTGATCATTTTGTAGCTTTTAATAGTTGGGGGACTCAACAAAGCAACACCCTATAGTAGAAGAACTATTTTGTAACTTTTAATTGTTGAGAGACTCAACAAGCATCACCCTATAGTCAGGGACGATATATATACTTTACTCAAATATATATTAATTATTTTATTATTAATGGTAAAACGTGGTTATAATTTATATGGATGATTCATTCTTTCTAATTTTTACTGAAAATTGCAGTCGATGATTAAACTGTTATTAGTCGATAATGTCGATTGTGAAGGAGTCTTTGAGGAGATTAAATCAATAGGGAGAAAGGATAGAGCTCCTAAATTTACGTTCATGATAATTCCAATAAAATTTGGAATACTGAAACTAAAATCCAATATCAAAATTGGTTAAATTACAAAAAATGTATATATTCTAAATTTTGAATATAAATATTATGAAATTTGTTGCATTGAGTTACTTATATGTGCTCTATATTATATTATTTTATGAAAGTTTTCACAGTCACCATTATTGTCAATTTTCTTTTTTTTCTTTTTGTCAAAATTTGCTTTTGAACTGAATTTTGTTTTTCAAAATTTATTTGAATGATTTTTTTTTTGTTTTAAATTGTTTTTGATCAAAGTTAGTTATTTTATCATATGTATATCTTATTTCTTCAATGATGTTTCAAAACTCATCTTTCCGTTTGGATATCAGTTGAGTCCAACGGCTCTATTTTTAAAATATCATTACTCGATTTTGATACTCACCTCTTAATTTTGAAACCAAAGTTACAGGTGACCATTTAATGTTCTAGATCAATCCTTTCAATGGCTATAATTCACTTCACAACTCCAAACGACTAGGAATATATTAGAGGATATGAAAAGAATCAAAAATAAGATGGAGAACAAACAAAAGCATTATAGAAAGAAAATATCAGCATCAAAGAGTTTTATATTACTAAATAGTTATATTTTTCGATGTAAAACATTTGTAAGCTTAAATTGTCTATATTGCTAAAATGTTATTTTAGTGAATACTTGATTGTGCAAACATATATTATCTTGTGATGTTTTTCTTTTATTTGTTAAATTTGTATTTATTCTTTGGGAGTGTGTATAATCAAGGTTTTTTGGTATGAACTTTGAAAGTGTTTGTAAGGTTGCATATTGTCTTTAAAGATGGATAAATCTAGTGAATTTAAGAAATTTTTAATACGGATACTAAGGTAGTGGATGCAGATTTAATTTAAAAGTCGAACCTCTATAAATTTTTTATATTTCAATTGCTTCCATCATAGAATTTATATTAAAAATTTATGGGCCAAATTGCATCTAAGAAAAGGTCAGTGGCTAAATTACAACCATTCTTTTTGTTAGCAAAATAAAATTCAGAAGGATAATAAAAGACGAACATAATAGTATGAAGGCGATGAAACAATTTCATTGAGAAATTGAAAATATAATGTATAAACATGGGAATGAAACTTTGTACATAATTCTGGGATGGATCAGAAGAAAAAGTTTACAAAAACAAAGAATCCATCACCGGATACGGTTCAACTGAGAGAATGGCTCATGGTTTGCTTTTGGAGCAGCTTTAGCAACTTCTGGGGCCCCAGAAACATTCCAGAATCTTAGTGTCTCGTCCCCTGCAGCTGATGCCACCGCGCATCCATCGGGGCTTTGAGCCATGTAGTATGACCGGTTAGCTCTGCCATCTTCACCATCGATGGATATTTCCAAAGGGTTAGCTGATTATTAGTAAATCCATGAGAACTCAAAAGCTCCCTCTCGTTCTTGCTCCACAGCAGAGAGCACACCTGAGAACCTGTATCGATCGAATTCAAGTATGCACCCGTATGTGTGTTCCAAAACCTAATGGTTCGATCACCGCCGCCTCCACCGGTGGCCAGCAAATTGCTCTGGAAAGGGCACCGGGCAAGGCCTTGACCGCAGATGTATGATCCTCCAACTTGTGCAACCATTGTGTTGGTGAATTCGAAGATGCCATGGACCTATCCCATATATGAACAACATTATCGTTGCCTCCGCTTGCTAGTTGTTGTCCGGAAGACCATTTCAGCTCGGAAACCTCTTGCTGGTACCCTCTGTAGGTTTCGACAATATGTGATCTGATTCTCACATCATTGTTTACAATCTGACCATCTATGCCTCCTATTGTGAGAGTGTGATTGTTCCATGCCATCGAACCAACTCTCGAACAAACATAATAGACATGTCAGAATAAGCGATGGAAGAGCAAAAATAAGCATAAAATGTATATAAAATCAAAACTTGTCGGTTCGAATCCGAATCCCAAAGTTATACTTTGGAATTGTTCAAGCCGATGGCAATATGCCGACCATCAGGTGCCCAATTCACACTTGTTACTGGACCATTTTCATCGTCAACTGTAATAAGTTCTGAGGTAGAACTATCTGAAGCATCCCACAAATACACAGTGTTACCAAGTGCTATTGCAAGAACATTGCCGCTGCCCCAATCCAATAAGTTCAAGTAAAAATCATCGACGAGATCAGAGCATCCAATGTCCTTTAAGAGCTCTGAATAATCAAAATAACAACCGTATCATACTAATGTATGTTGCAATTTCCAGGTTCTAGTCATATCATGCTCTAGTTACCTGTGGAATGTGTCTTCTAGGCTTTGAGGATTTGGTCGGATGAACTGAAGCAGTCGAATTATCGGAAGGAAAGTTTTCTACCGGTGTCAGTGGCTTGTTTTTGAAAGCCAAGATCCGGGTCCGGTTCATGTTCAAGTTCTAGGCCAGCATCTTCCTGTAGGCATCCTTGGCAGGTGAGCACACTGTTTGGTCCTCTTTGATCTTCCTCCCTTCGGTTAGTATGTAATGATCCCCTAAAACTACCCAAAAAGATCCTCTCATCGTCTTAAAGCTAAACCCGAGCCCTGAATCCACAAAACGAACCTAAAATGGCGTAGATCTAAAGAAAATCGTTCGTTTTTTTACCTTGGTTCGGCGGTGACTCTTCGCTTTTTCTGGCGACCTTTGGCTTGATTTATGCTATATTTAGTTGAGTATTGTTGTACTTCTTGGTAACCTTCGATTATTGACTCGTTTTTATGTTGGGTGCCCTCTTTGTTTGCTATTGGTTCTCCGTTTTTGTGTTGTTATTTGTGTTGCTTGCTGAGTTTTTTTGTGACTATCGTTGTTTGGTTGTTTTTATTGTTGTCCTCCTTTTCGGCCTCCCAAACGAGGCTTTTATAGCCTTCGATCGACCGTTTGATTCCGATGATCTCAGGGTCATCCCCGATCTTTTCGGGGATGTTTCCTGACTTGTTCACATTATGTTGAGGTCGTCGTTGGGCCGAAAATCCTGGACGTTCAACCGAAAGTCTCGGCCAACTTGTTGGCGCATGGCCTCCACGCGCGCTGCCGATTTCCTCTCTTGCGGCGCCCTTGGTTAAACACAAAACCCTAACTTTAGATTTTGGGCTAGGTCAAACCCCCTAACCGGGTTTGCTGGGTCAGGCTACCAGGTTGGGATCCTGGCTGGACCACCTGGATGTTGGACTTGGACCGAAAATGGACACGAAAAATAAATAAAATAAATACATAATAAATAAAAAATAGAAATAATATAAATAACAATGTTAAACTATATATACATTTTTTAAATGTTTTCAAAACCATTATATTATATATGTTTTCAAAGTCGTTTTTTAAAAACTATATATTATGCGTTTTCAAAAGTATTTTTAAAACCTATATAATATACGTTTTCAAAAGTTTTTTAAAAAAACTAAATATTATAAATTTTTAAAAATATTATATATTATACGTTTTCAAAAATATATTTTTTAAAACTATATTATACGTTTTCAAAAATATGTTTTTATAATTATATATTATACGTTTTCAAAAATATTTTCAAAACCATATATTATATATTTTCAAAAAACAATTTGAAATATTTTATATATTATATACTATATAAAAGCCCTTAATGTCCCAGACGAAAATGGGTGTATACATCTGCCCCTCTTTGCCCATTTATCGTGTAACGAAAAAAATAGGGCAAATATAAAAGGACACAAATTTTCGTTCAGTAAGAAGAGGGTCCAAAACTGAATTTGCTCCCGTGAGTCTGATATTTTTCTCTGTGATTGAAATCCAACTCAATGTCTGTTGACTCTCTTATCGAATATCTTCTGTCGTGGAGTTAAAATTCGACTTGAAAATTCTAATAGATCATGGCTCCCTGTTGTTGAGCTGAATTACGGGTGACTCATTCGTCATGAAGTTGAGTCGATCT